ACTTTGGTTTTAAGGTAGTACTCATTCACTTCAAGCAATTGCTATTGCTTTGTTCTGGTTGGTATTTTAAATATTTAAATATTTTACTTTTCTTCCTGAGGTAGCAGCAACCACCAAATGATACACACATGTAGTTAAATGCCTAGCCACTGACTAAGGCATTTCTAGACAAAGCTCTGTTACCCAAGACTCAGTGTACAACACTAGGAAAGCAGAAGGTCATATGGTTACATTTGTCTAAGGTTATGACAAGACACTGTGCAGCAAAGACAGGTCTGAAATGCCCCCTTATCTCTTTCCTTACAAAACCCAACAATAACTGGCCTCCTTTTGTGCCACAAGATTTATGGCTAAGTTTCTCTACTCTTTAGGCACAGTCGTGCCTGAAGTAACAGTAAGAAGCAGCAGAATCTTTATTTAATAAATTACACATGTTGAAGCCAGTAAAACTACACAGCTTTTCGAAGTCTTGGATATGAATTTTGATATAAAAATTTGGATCAGTAAATACTGAGCTTTAACTGGACCCTTTGAGGCTGTTGTATGTTTGAGGGTTTTTAAAATGCCAAATGCAGAACTGCCCAAAGAAACTGAGTAAGCAACTGATGGACTGAAAAACTCTTTCCTTATCACACTGTGCATTTCAGCCACATCCCAAGTGCATGTTGAGGCAAAACCTGAATGTGCAATAACCTTTGTTTGCTCTCAGTGTTACTGGAAGGAAATGTACACGTGAAGGGAAGATGTAGCCTACCGGTCAGCTGGGACAGCTGGGAAAAGTGGTGGTTAAACACAGCCTAGCAGAAGACAGGAAGATTGGCTTCTGCACGTTCAGAAATCTGGATAAGCTGTATTGGCTGAAGTGAGAGCAGTGTAATTCAAGACTTCCTTATCAAATCTGTCGATTTGCCACTATTTTATTGAACCTTTGAGTCAGAGTATGCCAGTTGGGACTGGATAGGAAACCTGCAAAGAACTCCATGACAAATGGCAGAATCTCCTGGGGACCTGCGCTTGGCTGCACAGCTGAAACAAAGCATAACACCATAGGCAGAAGATTACTGGAAATACACCCCTCCCCCCCAAATTTGTGGAACAAATTCAAAATGCAGTTTTTAAAAAAATTATCATCCTTACTTCTGTGAATGTAATAGTTCATCCCGCCTCAAAGGAATAACTAAAGAATTTCAGGTTTCACACTGTTTGACACAATGTGTATATGCCTAGATCCTTGTGACATCATATTTCAGCATCAACTTCTCCTAACTTCCAGGCAAAGATTACTTTTAATTTTCTTGGACAAAGCATCCCACAAATTTAAGTGAAGAGGGCAGCAACATGTTACAAACCAATTCAAAGAGATTTAATCTTGTAACCCTTGAGAGCAACAGGAAGCACTGCCAAAATAGATGATCTGATTTACCTCATTGCTGTGAGTTACAAAAATTTCACTGCTATTCAGCATAGACATCAAAATTTCTTTTTATTCAGGAATACTGTTTCCTCTGAAGAAACTTCATGTATCATAATGGGTTTATAATATGGTTTTGCCTTCTGTTTTTCAAGTGGCAAAAAAATTACTGCCTCCTTACACTTACATTATTGTTTTTATATATGAGCGATTTTTTTTTTAATGGATTAGTATTTACATGGAAAACAATAGCTAAAACTGTGAGAGAAGCACTATGTATACTGTAAGTTGTATGTTATTTCTCAGAACTCCAAAACTATATGAAGAGTGTTTTTGTGAGAGCAGACAATTTTGGTCAGGTGAATTAACAAGTGAATTGTAACTCAGTTTCACAAGCAGAAACCTCTGCATCATCCTAAAAACAGCCTTTCCTATGCTCAGATACAAATTGCTTCAGACAGGTTTGGCTTGGGGCCTGGGGAGGGACCAAGAAGTTCACAGCAAAACCGTGTAGGACATGGAACAGGAATTGCTGCAGCAGTGCAGCTGACTGCTCACTAATAGCAGCCTGCATTCACAAGCACACTTGTGGGTGCTTTAGGAATCTTCACACTACTTTAGACACAGCATTTGCTTTCACTGAAGATCTGATCATTACCAGTTGTCTCCACAATTATTTTAATTTCTTAATTTTTTTTTCTGGCTGCAAAAATATCAGCATTTTTAGTATGAAACCTTTGCTTACATTTATAAAGCAATGGAAAAAGTGACTATAAAAACATCTTTCTAACCACAGTTAAAATATACACAGCATTATCCACAATAACTGAATTCTAGTCAATGTGATAGATTCTGATCTTTTATTTTTAAGTGAATGAGCGAGTAGCATCTTCCCTGCTATTCCAGTGTGAGTTACGTGTACTTGATGTTACTCTCACAACTCCAAGTCAATACTGAGGCTGCACATAATAATCAGCAGCAGCACCAAAGAGCCAATTATTATTGCTGTCTTGACAGTAAATACACTCCAACTCAAATCTCTCAAGCTACTTTTATTACAAGGTGTTTAAAGTCACTTTAGCTTAAAGGTGACTTAAGGTACTGATTTTTATTTGCACAGAATGTGGGACAGACCCAATATCTGATTCAAACTTCTAAAATTCAAGGGCTGAAAGGCTCTGAGACTGCAGACAAACTGAAGAACATTTCACATATTTTTATATTACATAAGTACTTGAAGCCACTGGTCTTGAGCTTGGGTGCCCTGTCCTAGTTTTACAAAGCTATTTACTATCACAAAATCACTGGTTTCAACAATTAACAAGACAGAAACTTGAGGGAATACTACAGACTACACAGCAATAGTAGTCTACACTGCTTAGTGTGATAGACTGTAGTCAAACAATCAAGAGCAGCCTAAACATTTCAATGGGCAGAGCAGAGAAGTTAACAAAATTTAGGGGAGATTTAACAGATGTATGAAAGAAAATGAGCCAAGAAAACATTTGACAAATGAGGGAAAGAGATGGGAGCTGACAAGATGCAACAGTACTCACAGTAACTGGTGGGCTAAATGAGAAGGGCATTAGAAAAGAAAATACACATTGTCGTTTGAGAGGCACCAAAAGTGGAAATTCCTATAGTGCTCTAAGCATGACAATGGAGAGCAAATTCAGCAGTGCAGAAGGAAAAAAACAGAGGTTGAACAACATCTAAGCAGAGATATCTGCCTGTTTTCAGAGCAAAATATTAATTTCAAACCGTTTTCTTAAACAAATACGCTGTGACAACAAAGAGCATTAGTGGGTTTGCTCCCAATAATTGTCTCTCTGCAGAAAAAGATAACAACCTTTGTTATTGTTATCTATGGCTGGCTGTTCTTAAGGTTTTCTGGATGGGTAGATAGCTTGTCTTCTAACACCCCTTGGGAGCAAAGACTATATTTTCAGTAAAACAAATATAATACCAAATCATTCACCACATACTACTACTCTCCTTTAGTTACTAATATTAACTATTTTATTTACACATTTGTGAGATTTACCAAGTTTAAGAGAGACTAAAGTCTAGAGACTAAAGACTTCACATATGCAATGGTCAAGTGTGCTACAAAACAGGTGCAAATAATAGTAATTAGGAAAATTATACCACCTGAGAAGAATTAGTTACTCAGTTTACTGTGGAAGAGGAGGCAGCTGTGGAAAGAGAAGTTAAGACAACACATACACCACGTTATCCCTCTTGCCCAAAACAAACAAACGAAACACAAACAAATAAAATCCCAAAGCAAAACAGCCCAGTATGGAATGTCATCAGAGAAAACGTCAAAAAGAAAGTGAAATGAAAATGTAATGTCAGTAATGAGGAGTCTCAAAACATGACCCACAGGACACAAGACACCACAATGGTAACTGCAGATTGGATGAACACTTTCATTCTGACCTCTCTTGGATCTCAGTCTCCTAAGATTTTTCCTAATTTTACTTCCCCACTCCTTGCAGGAGTGCCACTGAAGGAAACATAAAATGTTGTAAGGTAAACAACTATATAGTTGACCTGAAAGGCAGGAGGATCAGCACTGTCTTGACTCTATTCAATACGCCATTGTGGGGCCAAGATCTCTACCGCCACTTTTATTTGTTACAGGAATAATTAATATAAACCAATCATCTGCTAGCTGGAGTTTTGTTCATCCTAGAAATTACTTAGTGGTTTAATTCTTCTGCACCTATAAAACCAAACCCATTATAAAGGTGTATGTAGGAAGCACTCAAAGATCCACTCTCCCTCACCCCAAAGCAACCACCCCCTCACCCATAACAAGCCATGTCTGCAACTTATCAGTTTTATCTTTCCTGCACTGGTTTAGAGAATCTTAGACATGGTTTTATGAAGATCTATTTGGCATGTGCCACCTACATAACCTACTAAAAAGGTAGTGTATTATTTTAAAGTTTAGAAATAAAATATAAAAATTATGGGGTTTTTTTTCCCTCTGCATTCCAGACCTGGAAATATGCACAGGAAAACGTGACGATACGTGAGGCACAAATACAATTATAGGATGGACAATGCCACTTTATCCTCCCCAACAATAAAATCAAAACCACTTTAAAAGTGACAGCCACAGCAGTCACGTTTAGATTTTTCTTTCCATCTTAACGCAAGACGCTTGTTAGAAAAAAAGAGCTGAAAAAAATAAAAGAGAAAAAGAGAGGAAAAAGGTTAAAAAGAAACTTTTTTTTCTTAAATTTAGGGTTGTATTTTTAATAGGGCAAGCATGGCCTAAGGATCCCATCCTGTAAGCCGTTTCGCAAGGTTGTGCTGGGTGCAGTTAAGCCACGACCCCGGGGGAGCGGGCGAGACCCGCATGCCCAGCCTTACACGCTGCCGAGCCTCGGCGCCACACGGGTTCCTTACTGCCCGGCACGCCCGGAGAGCCCATGGGCTCCGGAGCTCCGGGAGGCGATGGGGCGACCCGCCGCGCTCCCCGTCCACCCCCGGCCATCCCGGCCGGAGGGGCACGGCCGCTGCCAGCGCGCCCCGGACAGCCGAGGGGGCACGGGGCACCCCCGCCGCCCGCTCTCACCTCGGCTCCCCTGCCACACCGCGAACCACAGCAGGGGGAAGGCGGCGCCGAGGCACAGCGCCGGCAGCACCTGCCCGAGCCGCAGCCGCATCTCCCGCGGGCGCTGCCCGCAAGGCCCCGCACGCCGCCGCCTCCGCCCGGGCAACGCGTTCGTCCTGCCCTGCCCTGCCCTGCCACCCCCTGCGCCAAGGGCGGGGCTGCCGAGCCCTCCCGCTGCACGTCGGGGTTCCCCGAGGAGCGGCTGACCCCGCTGCGCTTTGAGTGTCCCCACCGGCGGGCACCCGCTCCTCCTGCCGCCCGGCTTTCCCCGGGAGACACCAGCCTCGTGCCCGCGCCGGTTCCCACGGGGAAGCCCCTGGCAGAGCCCTGCCCTGCCCTCAGCTTTCCCGAAGCTCGGACCCACGCCGAAAAAACTCTTGCCTGAGGCAAGTATAGACTGTTCACGACAAAAACGTCTCGGACAGGTGATGTTTAGCCGAAGCCATAACATTGAAAGGAATAAGGTGAATGTGTCTTTACAAACAGGTGCTGTGAATCGGATTGCAGCTAGGGTCAGAGACTTGAATAAGGAAGTAACGAGAGAAACGACAAGTTTCAGAAAATGTTACTCATTGACAGGGACTACTGCTCAGCCAAGGTCATGCTTAATTCTCGAACTTCGAGGGAAAGGATAAATACTTGATAGAACTATCTTATGCAAGGGGTGGTGCATGTGTGTGTGCATGTTAAGAGGGACGTGTAGTAGGCAAATTGGGAAGTCTGGACCTTCCAAGTACCTCAGCCAATGGAAAAAGAAAGTGGGTGATGTGGTTGGGAAAATCAGGATAATAAGGGGGCTGTGTCCTCCAACAGTTTGAGAGACCCCATGGGAAATGCCTCATAGCCTCTCCCTTTGTTCATGAATAAAGTTACAGGACTCCTCTGTCTCCTTTTTGAACACAAACCTCTTGTGACGTGAATTTTTTCTGCACAGCATTGTAATGGTCAACATTATTTTGCTCATTCAAAACCAATTGGGCTTTTGTTTTTACACTGCTTGTGAGATTGTATCGGGAAGCCGAGATGCGTACCATTAATACATGCATTTAGCACAGTCACAGAATCAGGCAAATAAACCAAGCTTTTCAGTTCACCTTTAAAGAGGAAGGAGGGCAAGCAGCTGCAAAATCCAACCCGATCAAAGTCTAATGGTACCCTGGTACCGCTACCCTGATAACAGTATTATATGCAGCCGTTGCACCTTGCTCCACACGTGCCTTTCCATTCAGACATGCACACCTGTTGCCCGTTTAGGTCTTCAGCAATCCAAAAGAAAACAAAAAATTAGTCACTGCTTAGAATACATCTTCTACAATAATAGTTTATAAAGGGAACAGATACCTCATTTACCAAGGTTCCTGGAACCACTTAGAGCAACAGAGTTCTAATAGAACCACCTACATTTTATGGACAAACATGTTCCTCCTTCTTATATCTGATTAGCAGGTATTTAGTGGCTTTTGCTTTGAAAAGTTCTCTACCTGCTCACAAATCTACTTTTCATTCTACAGCTATGATAAAGAAAATATGCTTTCCTCTTCTGTGTGGCAAACATGCAAAGGACAGCTTCAGAAATCAGACTGGGCTTGGGTAGCTCTCAAAAGCAGCAAGCTTTTTGCTATCTAAACTGTTGTCTACTTCTTAATGTATTACTAGCATATATAATTCATTACCTTATTTAGCCAGAGGACATAGTAATTTAGACAATTTGTTTTCTAAAAATATGCTTGTATTATTAATATAAGTATCTCTTCCTTCCTTTTCTCTATTTGCTCACTTAACAATTTATCTCATTTTTTACCAAACCCCCAAATCATTTTGTGTGCAAAATGAATGGTGTGGTGCAAAGCAATGGCAAACCCTACAACAGTTGTGTCCAGACACAGATGTGCTGTAGCCCTAATGTCACTGCTGCCTTTATGTGCTACTCTTATACTAACAACAGTATAACTATGTCCATTTTGGAAATTTTAGACCTCATAAATTGTATATTGCTGCTCTGGCAAGGTTAGCATGACCTTCCTGTTTTTGAATTCTGATATGGATGGGTTTATATCTCTGTTTACTAATTACTTTGAATTATAAATGTTATTATTCATTAAAAATGCAGGAGACTGCTAGTAGCCTGCATCAGTATATATGTGAACTAAAAATCTCAGTGTGGCTCCATAAATTGCCATGAAGCCTTGAGTTAGACCTCATTATTCCTGTCCTGTAGGCATTTCTGATGAACTTCCCTCCACCTTCTGTTTCAGTGCCATTGAAATATTTTACTGAGAAATCTTCTTTGAGCTGCACTTTGGATATGCATTTAGAATTGGCTAATAAGATGCAATGCAATCACAACACAATCCTCTTCTCCTACTGCCTCCCCATCACCATGTCCCTCTCCCACTTAATAAACTAAAAGCTCAGGGCATGAATTTTGATGGAGGGTCAATGTAGATTTTGGCACATTTGCAGTAAAATAGAGATTTAGAACTAAGAGGAACAAATGAGCATTAAATACCCCCCAAATAATGAATAAAATGTCTTTATTGGTTGGTGTTCTATCTGTAATAAAGCCAAAGTGAACACGTAAATGATGTGGTCAAACTGCTGAAGATAGGATTTGCAGAAATCTAACACACATTTTATTTTAGCTTATGTTCAGAGCAAGTAAGGAAAAAAAAAAAAAAGACAAGACCATAGACTAGGTCATTAACTTTCAATGAGGTAGTGCATTAAATGTTCCTCAAAAAAAATAATCAAAAGTCTCTTGACTGAAACTGTCATGAACTTCCACTGCACTTGGACCTACTTGCAAATAGGGTCCCTTATCTGCTTCATGCTTTCACAGGATCTCTCTCCCAGGACTCTCCTCATGTTATTTCACATGCTGAAGAACTGTGTATAACTGGAATAAGTTGTGTTTGGGTTTTGGGGGGTGATAATTGTTTCAGAGCAGTTTTACCTCCCATCAGCAGACTTTCTGCATTTTTGACAAATGGATTATGTTTAAAAAGACTCTACAGAAGAACACGTTGCTGAATAACCTGTAATATTTAACACCAAGAAAGTGATTCAGTGGACTGGCTCTCCTTACCAGCAAGAGAGAGTTCCTAAGCTTGTCCTTGTGCTTTGTAAGTGAATGTCTCTTCTTGCTCAGATGATTGCTCCACATTTTTATACTGTTTTCACACATCCCTGTGTAAGCAAGGGTAGAGAAACGAAACATTAAAATAAATATTTGATATAATACAGGCTTCTGGCTGAGCCAAGCAGATTATTTTCCATGTCCTTCACCTGCAAAGGTATAGGAACAAAGAATAACTACCAGTAGTAATACGTGATAGCTGCTGCCATGGAAAGTTTTCTGACTAGAGAGAGATCCAACTGCTGGTTATTTGCCCTGCTGGTCACCCCATAAATGGGATTTCAAAAAGTAAACAGGTTATGATCTTTACTTCAGCCAAAGTCTCTGTGAAGGTAAAATTTGAAGGAAAATACCGAACACAAGAGGAAGGTGGATTTTTTTTTTTTAAGCTACTGTATGGTATTTTTGACTGTCTTAATATAATTTATTAATTGACTGCACATAATGATACAGAAGCATCTTGCATGATCCCAGTGCTAACATTTATACGAAATCAAACATGCTTGCTGTCTTGCAATTTACAAAAAGCTGTGAAAAAAACTGTCAAAAAAACATGCTGTAATATTTTAAATCATTAATTGGTTACAGATTTTACTTTAAAATACAGATTTAAAGCGAAGAAAACATCGTATGAGCAAAAATAAGTGTAGGACTAAAACTTGCATCTTTTAAACACATTTCAGAAGTGCTTCATTTAAACCAACACCTTAAAATCTCTCAAGCTTACCTCAACAAATCTAATTATATCACAGAGAAGTGTTGGGCAATGTACTGTCAACACCAGATATTCTACACATCACTGCTGGAGACTGGAAGCAAAGAGAGCTGATAAAACAATAATCCTGTACTGTGTGTATGTATTGTTACAGTAAATCACAATAGAAAGTGGAACAAATTCCAGAAACTGTAGTAAAGGTTTCTTTGGTTATTAACATTCTACACAAAATGTAATTTCTGTTTAAGCATAAATATAATGTCGTATTTGTATGAAGCTATTTAACCCCTTAAAAGATCCCATGGAAAGGGAAACCCTTGAAGCAGCAGCAGCAGAGTTTAATTTTGTTATTGAAAAATCAAGAGTCTCATCAGCTAGAAATCCCCTGTATTATTTGTGCACACACACACTTAAAGGAAGCACCTGCTGGACTTCCTAAAATTTCATTAGCTCAGACTTCTAATAAACTACCTCAGTGAAATCCATGTGTGGGCATAAAGACTGTCAGGAAGGACCTGACCACCCTTACATTTCTTCACATTATTGCAATTCTTCTGTCTTCCCAATATCAAAATAATGCTCTTCAGCTGCTGGTGTAGCCAGGACTCCTCTGACAAGATTATTTCAGCCTAGCTATGTTTAAATATCACCACAGCAGTGCGCTGCCAAGTTGTCAGATGGGAGGTATAGCACAATCTTTTTTTCCCCAAGTATTTGCTCAGAATTGTTTCATATACAAACTAGGTGGGACCTATAGTTCACACCCAGCTCCTGCAATACAGACAAATTTATTTCCTCCAGTTTCTGTTACTAGTTCTAAGGCACTGGATCTTTGATTTTTTTAATATATGTTTCCTGGGGTTTGGCTACCTCGGAACAACTTATATATAAGTAATGTGATAAAATCATCATGTCATCTTGTCACCAAGTAAGAATACTTTTAAACAGAGATAAATACTTTCAAGCTTATTTTCACCCCGTGCTCCAGGGCTTTGAAAGTCAGATTGCTCACTAAGCATTTACATTGCCTCTTAACATGCAACATGCACCACCACTCCTCACAGTTTCTAAATGTAGGAATGAGATATGCAAACAACTGAAGTTCACACATCAATGGTTTCCCCACATGAAACTATGCACCCCTGTGAGCGTAGGAACCCAGAGAGAGGATGCCAAACAAGTTGGTCTATGCTCTGAAATGCTCTGTGGGACATAGGCCATCAGACCTGCTGTGTGGCTTTTGATGTAGTGTAAAAGTAAGTTCAATTTCCACACATCAAAAAATATATCAGAATGCAGTCAAGCAAGTCTGCCAGCTCCCTTACAACACTCCAAATTTTGCAT